CAGGCCCGGCGAGAGGGGGACGGCCACCCCCAGCACCAGCCGCCTCCTGCCAGCACCACCAGCCCGGCGCCCGCAGCCAAGGTGCCCGTTCCCACAGCGGAGCCCGCGGGAGGCAGAGCTGCTGAAGGAGCCGCTCCCAGCACGGGTTGCATCAGCTGCAATTTGGGAGCGGGGTGTGATGCCGCAGATGGCTGCTCCTGGCTGATAATGCTGCTCATGAGCTCAAAGCGGACCTTCAGCCCGCCTGGGCAACAGCGCAGCTGAAGATGAATGAAGAGTGATCGTGTGCCTTGGTGAGGCACTTCTGGGTCCGGTTCGGATGAGTCCCATCCGTGCTGTCTTCCCAAGAGAAAGGACTGTCCAGGAAGAGGTGGGAGGGCATCTCAGAAGCAGCCTCCTTCGGTGTAGTGAGTCCCAAGTTCGTGCTCCTCCCTTCTGACCTCTACTGCCAGTGATTCAGATTTTGTTTCAGAGACTCAGTGTTGTGCTCCCTTCTTTCTCCATAATCTTAGTTTCTGCTGAATCTTTTTGCCGTATGACATGTGGACTTGCTAGCCTAGCACTTCTCAACCTATTGCGCTTTTTGCCCATAAGATGGATGACTGTAGGTCTTCTCAGATCAAGCCAGTTATACTTCTGACCTCTTCTTTATTATTGATCCCAATGTCCTCTCTACAACTTGAGCTCTCTGATACAGTTTTAGTTTTGTTTCGTCCTCTGGAATCACAGCAGAAATATTTAGGTTAGACAGTGAAGGAAAATATGTAATGGAAGGGGAGATTAAGCGGTAGAATTGACTATGTGGAGAAAAACATGTTATCATCTTTATTGGAGGCATTAAAGAATAAGTTAGGTTGATTGTTCTCAGAAATGACTGGAATAGCACTGACCCTGCTGTGGTGTTGAGAGATTAGCTAACCATTAAAGTTATTTCCAAGCACTCTGGTATTGTGAGGAGGTTTCTTGTGCTATAGTCATATAATACCACCCTACATCTAATTTCAGCATGTCCTTTTGTTATTTAGCACAGTGATTGCTGCCCCTGCTTCAGACCTTAAGAAGGGCTCATGTGCCAGCAACTGACTCTTTTCTGGTTTTGTCAGCTGGTCCTATAAAAGCTAATTCTTCTTCTTGCCTCTCTGATAAATGAGTTCCCTCCCTTCCCGTCCCTGTACAAGACATAGAATGAAGCAGTTGTTGTGACATCTGCCTTTAACACTGGCAGGCTGTCAGCTGAGGAGCCTTGTGGTGATGCTGCATTTTTGGTACTCTTCTGAGTTCAGGCAGGATGGGAAGTGGAGCTGCACGGAGCAGGTAGCGCTGTTCCTGCTGCCTCATTGCTGCTTTTCCTCAGAGAGCTGCAGGCAGCTTTTCAAAGCTGAATGTTATCCCGTCTCATGTATGCGTGTGTATGGGAGGGTGAAATGAGATACTGAGCTGGTGAACAAGCCAGAGCCTCCCAGTCCCAGACCTGCTTTAGTATCTCGAGGTGTTCCAGAAGGACAGTAAGGTGTGCATGTAGCTAAAAACTCAACAAGGAGGTTTTTTCTCTTGCCAAACAATGCGCTCAGCTTCAGTTTTCAGCAGGGAGAGCTTTGTAATGTACAGGGAGAGGCTGGAGCTGTACCTCAGAACAACCTTTAATACTCCTCATTGTCCAGTAAGTCATTTTTAAAAGAATTGTGTTCCCATCTTGCACTCCAAGAAGTTCTCTCTGAAATAAGTGGTCTGGGAGCCCTGATGAATGTAATGCACATGTAAACAAACAGCGTAGTTCAGCTGTGGCCTAAGCAAGTGCAAATTCCTTGAACTCCATGGAATTGTCTCTGTTTACATAAAAGAGCGTAAAATTTGGCTTTGTAGTCTAGGTGGTGGCATTTTAAACAGCTAAGGGCCGTTGTGTCTTTGGTTTGTTCTTGATCTTGTAAAATGTGTATCTAATGAAACAGTTTTACAACAATATGAATTGTGTGCTCTCCATAAAAAGTGCTACATGGCAGATTGAGTCTCTTGGTAATTTCCGTTTAAATTTGAGTCCTGAATGTGTGAAGATGAATGAATCAATAACTGACTAGCTGCAGAGCTAGCATAAGAGGCATGTTCAGTTACCTCAAGGTACTCATGAGAATTTTCCATGAGATTATCTTCCTTGACCTTTACATTTGACATGTAGTTTTTCTTTCTTCTTTTATTCTTTAGCTCAGATTTAAAAAACAAAGAACAAAACCAAACCCAACTACAACAAAAAACCCCACAAACAAACAAACAAAAAAACAAAATGGAATGAAAGCCCACCCAGGTTAGTTACTGGTGGAAGGATGTTCATTTTCAAATTCTTTAAAGTTTTAATAACAGAAGGGAGAATGCTTGCTTTTTTTTTTCGTATTTGAAACAAAGATGAAAAAACAGGCCTTTACTTTAAACCTTATGAATCAGCTAGGGTTATTTCAAAATTTAAACCTTTTCCTCTCATTGTATAGGAGTCTCAGACTGGTCTGTAATAAATAGATTTACTCAGTGCACACATCTTCAAAGAAGTAAAATGTTTTCAAGAAAAATTGAATAGGTCAGAAGGTGCTGTCAGGTCTTTGTAGTGCGGAGATAGCAAACAGCTGTGCTTGGTTCACTCCCAGGCACTGGAAGCACAACTGCGCTCCAGTCCCGTCCTGCCGGCACATTCAAAACAGTCATTTGTCTTTGACTCCAGCTAGGAGTTCTGAACTACCGACACATTTGGTTAAGATTTACATATTGAAGTTCAAAGTTAAAATGCATAGCTTGCTGGGAATCTCACCAGGTCTCGCTGGGTAATTTCTGGCCTGGCATAAGGAAGTTTTGATCTTTGCGTTAAAATAGGAGCATCGTTGTTCTCCTGAAACCACTTCCCAGCGGCAGACTATGTTGGCAGCAAGATCAGTCATTATCTTGCATAAAATATTGAATAAGTGCAATATTCTGATGTGGTTATGTTACTGCTTTTGATTCAACTTTTTTGCTATAAGGTTTGATAAAGGATGGTATTATTTCCCAGGTATAGAGTTGTTTATAAGCTATGATAAGGAAAATCAAAATAGTGGTTTTGTTTTATTCCTTGCTTCGCTTTGAAGCAAATAGCCAGAAAAGAGTCTGTCTACAGGAAAGTCTTTTTAACACTTCACAGGCCACTTTGTCACACCAGTACCTGTTAGTGCAGACCTTGGAATGCAGCTGGAGTCCCCCTTGCCGGGAAGGAGCAGTCGTAGTCCTGCCCCGGTGCCAGCCTGGGTGTGCTGCTTCAGCCAGCCTGGCTGCAGGCGTTTGTCAGGGCATGAGGATTCGAGTGATCTGTCTTTTATATCTTTTATAACTAGCTAGGTCTGGTTTTCAGACTGTTCCTGATACTCGTCTCTTACAGATGCATCCTGGCAAATCTGACTATGGCAGTTTTAAGGCAGGAGTGCCCTGGCCCCGGTGGCAGAGCACATGCTCTGTGCAAAGCCTGGCACCCCAGCTGAAACTGCTGATGAAAGTAGCTTGGGAATAATGCAATGGACTGTGAGCTGGCGAGGCTGGGGCCGCCCCGCATTCCTTTCTTGTGAGCCTGCTCTGACTGGTAACCTCTGGCACTGGAACAGGGCAGGCTGCTGGGACGGCACCATCAGAAACCGCTGCAGCCAGAGCTTGTCTGGCAGAGCCCTGAGCAATTCATTTGGCCTCAGCCCCCGAGTGAAAGCGGTGATGCTGACCCACACAGAGGTGGTGGGAAGGGGAAAGCGGTGGAAGACCTGCATCACTGCTAGTTTTAAAATGCTCTGGGGCAGCCAAAATGTCTTTTTGGCCTCAGAAACAGAGCAGTCCTGCTGCAGAGCCCTTGAGAGTGAACAGGCACTTCGCAGGTTACAGGTTTCAGTGCAAACTCACATGCTTTGCTCCGAGTACGCGATAAAGTGGAGCTGCTTCTCTTTCTGTGGAAGAGCTTGCTCCCATGGTAGTCTGGGATTAGCAGTGAAACGGCTTATCCAAGGAGGTCCTGCGAAAATCCGCTTCTTAGCAAAACTTGGGTACTCCTGCAAGCTGCTCATTGTTTCAAGATGTCATTCCCTCGTGCAGGGAGAGGAAATGGAGGAGGGGAAGGAGTCAGCACAGATCCAAGTTGATGATGGGGTTCCCAGGATGCCTCTGGATGATACTGACGGGGATGGGAGCTGTGCGGCCAGATGCCCGGCACTGACTCCCTGCCAGGGCCTCCCTGCGGCTGGCTTTAGGCTTTACTCGCTCTGTGTTTGTTGCTTGTGCTGCTTTGAATGCTGCAGAAGGCTTTTTGGATTTGTGCCTTTCTGACTGCCATACCTAATCGCTTCTTCCTTGTCCCTTCTAAACAAGCCCTATCCTGTCAGCTACTCTTCCTGCCTCCAGTCCTTCCCCTTGCTGTCTGACTGGCACTTTTGTTCATTCCAGACCCCAGTCTGGATTCGTTTCCAGTGTCTTTTCTGACCACATTTCTGTGACTTGCCTCCTTAGCGTTAGCCAGTTTATCCACCACCTGATCTTTTTTCCCCTAGTCTCCTCTCCAACCTGTTTCACAGGTTTCACTCCCTTCTCTGAGTTTATCCACCCTCCCTCCATCCTTTCCAAATCTGCTGCTTCCGAGAGGCCTACAGCCTTCATCCTCCCCCATTTAGCAGTGGCCCCTGAAGCTGACAGGGTTCAGGTGCTCTTGCTCAGCTTTCTGGAGTGCTCTCCTCCACCCAGAGAGTATTTAAGATCGATAGAAAACTGCAGAGCTTGGATTTAGCCTCCTGCATCCCTAGCAATAGCACTACGTAGAAAAATACTTGTCTGTACAGAGCGGTGTTTGGCTGTGTACGCAGAGCAGCACCAGGATGCTCTGGGTGTTTGTGCCGTGCATGATATGTCGCTGCCGGGGAGGGTGCTGGTTTCTCCTCTCTAGTGGCCAAGCTGGCCTGCTTGCACCTTCCCATCCCCAGCCCTGCCTGGAGAATGGTCCGTGGGGAGCTTTATTCCTAGTGAAAAGGAGAGGAGCTGGCAGTGCTGATGTACTTTGCTACTCCTTTAAAACTTGCGAAGGTGACTGAACAAATGATAAGCTCATGTATTTATCTGTTCCTCCCACAGGGTTCAGGTGTGATTAAGGCAGGTTTTGCAGGTGATCAAATACCGAAATACTGCTTTCCAAACTAGTAAGTATTCTGCTGGTCTTGGTAAGTTCTTAGTGCCATGTACCAATTCCTTGATACATAGAGGGAAAGAATGGTCTAATTTTGTAACTGGAGATATGAGTTACTCTTTTTGTGTCTGCTGCACAGAAGCATCAGGAAGAAGAGATCTCTGCTATTAAGTACTTTGAGATTTTCTGGGAGGGATGTGCAATAAAAGGTGACCTATCACTTTGTCAGGCTCATCACCCAACCAAAGCAGTAGGATCTTTTAGTCTTGAGACATGAGGAGAAGGACTGGGAAGAAGACGAAGTTGGGATGAGAGGTGTGAAAACCTCTGTATTTCTTTGGTGTGTGGTCTGATGTCTTGATTCCTGCCAAATGTCCTTGGAAGTTTTCTGAGTTTTACTGGGAGGAGGACTACTGGATCAGGAACTCTGAATAGTCACTGGCTTTTGTTTTCGATGGGGTGGGTTTTTAATGAGTACATTTGTGTTCTGAGCAATGTGTTCTGTATGGTGGGGTGGGATATGAGACTATAAATGTCTGATCTGAGAAGCCTACCTAAGGTCAGGCAGCCCCATGCGGATCTGTCAGCTCAGACCACATTGCTCAGTGTAGCCATGTTCACCACAGGCACTGTTGGAACAAATAAGTCCTGAATCGTCAGGGAAAGTGCAGCCAGACTCAGCTGGCTTATGTCCTGCCAATTCCAAACTGTCCACAGTCTGTTCCCTTCACCTCTGGTTCTGAGATTAACTCAGAGCAAACCTGGGTTTGTCTGCACCTGGTAGTGGCCCTAGACTTGCCCATCGCTTCAGAAAGTAGTGGTTAGGACAGAGAGGAACACAAAGTAATTAATTCTTGGGTGCATCTGAGCTCTCTCTAGAAGGATTTATACTCTTGCCTCTGTTCTAGTGTGGGCAGACCAAAGCACGTTCGTGTTATGGCTGGTGCTTTAGAAGGGGACATCTTCATTGGTCCAAAGGCCGAGGTAAGAAAACCTGTGTACTGTACTTGTCCATCTATCTCAGTATGCGGCTGTAAGGAGGAGCTGTAGCAGTTGTCCTTAAAAGGGCTGTGGCTCCTTGGTGTCAGCATGTAGATCTGAGTAGCAGAATAGATTGTCACCGTTAAGTGTGTCCGAGGTGGAGTGGGAAGCTTCATGAAATTCTTGTGCTAACCTGCTGACCACAGACCTTTTTCCCAAGTCCTTCTATATTTCTCCTTTTTTCTGGGCTACTTCTAGGTCTGTACGGTTACATCCCCATCTTTTTGACTGTGAACTTTAGAAATGGGCCCCACTTTGTTGCCTTTTATCTCCCTGGTGTGGGCAAGAAGCTTGCTTTCCACGGTCCTGCTTTTGTCATGTGGTTGCACGGTCTCACGTTTCTCATGAGCCCTCCGAACTACATTCCCCAGTACCACCCTGTTACGTTTTATATCATGACTAAGATGGTAGAACAAAGATACCATTTGATAGGTGTCTGTGTGTTGGCTTGAAAAGTGTTAGGATGGAATGTGCTCTGCAAATGCCAGACTTTCCTACTTGGTATAAAAAGGCCTTGTTTAATCTCATGAATACTTCTCTGGGAGAGATGTTTGTGATTAATGTTCAGTTTTTGCCCTATATGCTAGAGATAAGTTGTCTTTTAGTGGAATGAAAATAAGTGAGTCTGACGTTAAATCAAAGTCATAGTGCTCAGAAATGTGATAGTTTGAGTCTGACAGGTGTGCTCTATTGTGCTTTCTCTTTGCTCAGGAGCACAGAGGTCTCCTCTCGATCCGATACCCAATGGAGCATGGCATAGTGAAGGACTGGAACGACATGGAGCGCATTTGGCAGTATGTGTATTCGAAAGACCAGCTTCAGACATTCTCAGAGGAGGTGAGATACCTCATTACGTAAAGGCACAGGCATCACTCAGTGTGTATAACACCAGGAGCCTTGGAACTCCAGGAAAAATTTGGGACTTTTCCTCTGCTCTTCTTTCTAAATGTGTCTGTTGTTAAATGAGGCTCTTTCACCTCTCAGGAGATACCGCACAAGAAGTGTCCAAGCACAATTCCTCCCCAGATCTAATGTTCTGGCCTGACTGAAAATCTGACTTTCAGCATTTGTTATTCACATTCTCTGTAATGATTCTGTCCTAGGCCAAGTGCTTCTGGCTTTTCCTGTTTTTCCTGCGCATCAGGCTTATTATCTACTCAGCAGTGACATTGTTTGAAGTAAGGAAGGAGAAAAGCACAATCCTGTGGTCTGGAAGGAGCTGACCAAAAAGTTATTAAATGACTGGGAATGATAGGTTGTATGAATGGAGTAGGAATATTTCTGCCTGCTTGTGCTAAGACCTTATGCCTTCACCCTCTTTTAGATTAGCCAAAATACACAGACCCTGGCTGACTGGCACTGAGAGTCATCTTGTTCGTTCTTCACAGGGCAGGGTTGCTCACAGAGTAGATTTCCTAATACTTCTTCATAACTAGACCAGAACCCTGCTGGTCTCCCAAATTACTAGAGGTTATTTACAGTCTAACACAGCTCGGTAGCTGAAATTGTTCTCTTCTACCTGTCCTCTTGCACCAGTGGTTGCTAAAGTGAGTAAATAAGCAGAAATTTTCAGAAACACACATCTAGCTACCTTCCAGTTATTGCAGCACGGCTCCTTCTTTTTTTTACCAGCATCCTGTGCTGCTGACGGAAGCACCCCTAAACCCTCGCAAGAACAGAGAGCGTGCTGCTGAGGTGTTTTTTGAGACCTTCAATGTGCCAGCACTGTTCATCTCCATGCAAGCTGTGCTTAGCCTGTAAGTGTCTTTTGTCTTTGATTGGTGCTTGTGAAATGTTGCTGTGAAGTCCATTTTTTCACAAACCAAACAAAAAAACCATGGAAGACCACACTGATGTCTGAGCTATCCCCTTCTCAAGCAAGACCTGAAACTTAATTTTAATTTCTCTAATAAAGAGTTTACAGGAATTTGAACTATGATGAGAACTAGGTTTTGGCGGTGTTTTTTAGCCCCTGTGCCTCTGAAATCTCTGCTCCCTGAGTTGAGCCTGGGTGTGCTGCTTGGGGTCACTTTGAATTGCTTGTTCTGACTTGATTGTTTGCCCCTTTGCTAGCTACGCGACTGGGAGGACTACAGGAGTGGTGCTGGACTCCGGGGATGGCGTTACCCACGCGGTTCCCATCTATGAAGGCTTTGCCATGCCACACTCCATCATGCGGATTGACATTGCTGGCCGTGATGTCTCACGCTTCCTGCGTCTCTATCTCCGGAAGGAAGGCTATGACTTCCACACGACTTCTGAGTTTGAGATTGTCAAGACCATCAAGGAGGTGATGTACTGTCTGTTTCTGTGTTTATCCAAGAAGGGATTTCTGCTGAAGGGAAGTCGTGACTCATGAATTCTAATGCGAAGTGCAAGCCTGCCTAGCTCTGCACCTCATTCCTTTATCTACCTGAGGGAGACTAGGGCCACTAAGATGATGAAAGGACTGGAGCATCTCTCATTTGAGGAAAGGCTGAGAGAGCTTGGACTGTTGGGCTGTGAGAAGAGAAGGTTGGGAAGGATCTCATTGATGTATATTAATGTCTGAAGGGGTGGTGCAAAGAAAACAGAGCCAGGCTAGTTTCAGTGGTGTCCACTGACAGGGCAAGAGGCACAAACTGAAGCACAGGAGGTTCCACCTGAACATAAACTTTTTTACTGTGAGGGTGATCAAACACTGGCACAGGTTGTCCATAGAGTTGTGGAGTCTCCATCCTTGGTGATATTGAAAAGCCATGTGGACATGGTCCTGGGCAACTTGCTCTAGGAGACCCTGCTTGAAGAAGGCAGGTGGACAAGGTGACCTCCAGAAGTCCCTTATTCCTCAACCATCCTGTGTTCTGGGAGACTTAGTCAAGGTCGCATTTAATCCCTGTTGAGGGGCTGTTAACATGGAGGTAAAGACAGGCTGGTGGTTCAGAGTCTGTTTTGCCTTTGTCTGTGCTGTGGTTTCTCAGGGTACGATGGTATCTTTCACTAGTGTTCCTTTACCCTCCAGGGCAAGGCTCTGTGAAATCCATGGCAGGTAGGGATCACAAGTGGGATACTGCAGGTTGCTTTCCCCGCCCCCTCCACTCCGTGAAAAAATTCACTCACAGCGTTCATGTTCACAAAAGCTTCCCCTCTTTATAGGGTCTGGGGTGTTTAGTGGCCTTAGAGCTGTGCAGCAGTTTGGAAGGGCATGGTTAAGGTCCCTAGCAAAGCAGTTACCGTGGCTTCTGTTGTGTGCCAAGAGAGGAGGACTGAGGTGGGACAGCGAGTAGCAGCTCCGAGCTGGTGCCTGCTCACAGCAGCTCTGCGGCATCGCTGTGCTCACACAGCTGGGTTGCTCTCTGGTTTCAGCGAGGCTGTGTGTGACTCGGGGCCACCTGCATGTCCATGCCTTCAGTACACGGGGTCAGTCTTCAGATCGGTGCTGGCTGTGACTTGTGTGCTGATGCCTGGCAGTTGCTGCCGTGCTGTGAGCCCCCATCACAAGCTACAGTTTCCACAGATAACCCTGGGCTGAGTCAGCAGCCTGTGTCAGGGCTTCAGAGCGTTAATGAGCTGTTCTTGAGCCTGTGACCTACCGGCGAAGGACCATAATGGAAATAGTATGCTTGTTCTGCATGACCATGGCTCAGGGTAGCTGTGCTGAAGAAGCAGTGCATGTACACCTGAATGGCTTTTGCCTGTTGCCCAGAGCAGGAGACTTCACAGGGTTGTTGGTTTTAACCCAGTAGCTCCTCTCTGTTCTGCAAGTGTGGATTGCTGAATGGGATTAAAAAACTGAGATGCTGCAGTATCTGCACACGTGTGGATCAGAAGAGCTAGTGATCAGAGGTTTGCTGGAGAGCTTTTTGCTTCAGAAGAAGCCGGTTTTGTACTAAGCATCAGTTGCACTGCAGTTGTAGTGGCCTTATGGGACAAAGCGAGAGGCTCGTACTCTTCAGAAATACGCTTGTACTTTTCATAAATGGGCAAGGCTCCCTTTGCAGCTTGGTTGATGAAACTATTAAAAGGCATTGTGCTGGCTGTTAAGTGCAAAGTCTTGCACCAGTGCAGTCTTTTCTCTGGACTATGTACACGTAGGGAAACAAAGAGCAGGGGAAAGTGAGTCAAGTCCTGCTTTGCTTGCTGACTCCCCTCCCCAGTGAGACTGCTGAAGAAGAGAGGAAACAACCTGATACTCGCTTTCCAACCTACACCTTTTGCTTTAAGATTAATTGTAGCTGGCGAGTGTTGCAGATTTCTAGGATATATGTGCCTGGAACTTGCAGTGAGATTTCTGTTGATGCTGGTGCCATTTGTGACTTGATTTGCAAATCTGAGGGGTTGAGTGTGGCTACTTGTGTTTGCAGCTTTCTTGCCTCAGAAGAAGTTTGGATATGCAACCTGAATGCACAATGGCAAGCAGAAAGCTGAGAATCTGGACATGAGAGTTTCTCAGTCCTAAAAGCTGCTTGTGGTCTGTTGGAGTCTGTCTGACTCGATATTAATTTTTTTTTTTTTTAAAGGGGAAAAAATGAGGAAGGAGATTTGGGGACATTGAAAAGTCTACAGGAGAAGTTACCTTACAAGGAGAACCCTTACTCATACCTACCTCAGTGCAAACATTGTTCTCTTGTTTCTTGGTTTGTTGTGAGGGCTGTTAAATGCTGTAGCAGATTGCCCAGAGAGGTTTGTAGATCCTCCATCTGTGGAGGTACTCCAGGTGTGACTGGACGTGGTTTTGGGCAGCCTGCTCTAGCTGACACTGCCTGAGTGTGGGTGTTGGACTAGGTGATCTCAAGACACTCCCTCCAACCGGAACATTTCTATGATTCTGTTTAGATAGTGGTTTTTTTTTTTCTTTTTAATCCCCAAATGATAACAATTTGGAATAGCAAAGCTTACCGTGGAATAGAAAATACAGGGTTTGAAAAGTCAAATTATTTTGTTTCCTGTAACTTAAAATGGAGGTGGGCAATGGGAAGTGAGCAGCTTGGATCATGTTAAGAAATGTTTGCTGTTAGCTATTAGTTACTGTTTACCCTGTTGAAATGTAATAATGGACACTGTTCATGCTCCTAATCTGTTGGGAAGTTTACCTGAGCCCACCTTTATACAAGGTTAATGTCACTAAAAGTGTTTCAGATGCGTGTTTTACTTTGCCCTACAGTAGGCAGGAAGTGCTCACAGGATAGTTACCCACTTGTGCTAGAGGCAGGTAACTTCTAAGCAGTAAGAGAGAGCTGGAAGCAAGAGGGGATGTAAGCATGCTTGATGTCTCTAATCATCATCTGGAGCTGTAGCGTGAATTGGTATCTCACCCACTATGAACCCATAAGGTCTTTTCCCCAGCATGAAATACTGTTTAAATTGGCCTCCCCAAGGGGATACATGGATTTTGATTATTAGCGAGAAAAGTATTTTATCAGAGGCGTTAGGGTTTACTCTTCTCATCTTCCACTCCCTGACTCTTGTTTCCTCTGCAGCGTGCCTGCTACCTGTCAATAAACCCCCAGAAGGATGAGACTCTGGAGACCGAGAAGGCTCAGTACTACCTGCCAGACGGGAGCACTATTGAGGTTTGTAAGGACCACTCTCAGAGGCTTCCTGATGTGAAGCATGGGGTTTCCAGAATAACCTTCTGCCTAGCAATGGGAAATTTAATGTGGTGTTAGGTGGGAGGGGATAATTTTAAAAGACCAGAACTAATTCCAGGCTGTTGACTTGGCACTAGAATTTTTAGGGGAAGAAAACATTATTAGAAACCTCACAACTTGTACTGGAATTCCTGGGTAAGAATGCAGCATGACCACGGGGACTCTGAGCTGTTTGAGTGCAGGCTCTGATCTAGCAAATCTTTGTGCAGACAGGTATGGAGCGTGGGTAGTAATCAGCTCACTGTAAAATCAGCAGTGGGTTTGTATGTGGCTTTTGTCCTGGCTAGAGGTGCAGAAACAATTGCTTTGAAGAGTGAGTTAAGAATACTCCTCAAAAGACTGAGCCCTCTATAGAATGTTTGAAGGAGGGGAAATACAGGTCTTGCCTCCAGCACCAGGGGGGGATCTGCTCCCTTTTCTGCCAGTGACCTGCTGTACAGGGCTGAGCAAGTTTCTTCATCTCTCTCATCTGCCAAATGGAAATAGCAGCTTTTCTAGGAGCAGTAGACCAAACTGGAGTTAATTCGGGACCTAGTGATGCAGCGTGAATGTCCAGGAAACTTCGTTACTCTGAAGTTTCACCTAAGACAAGTCCAAACTGTAGGCAGTGAACAGAGCCACACCGCACTCTCTTCACCTCTGTGCTAACTTCTCACCTTGCAGATCGGCCCTGCGCGTTTCCGAGCCCCGGAGCTCCTGTTCCATCCAGACCTGATAGGGGAGGAATGTGAAGGACTCCACGAGGTGCTCGTTTTTGCCATTCAAAAATCAGACATGGACCTGAGGCGAACGCTGTTCTCCAACATCGTGCTGTCTGGAGGCTCCACGCTATTCAAAGGTTCCTGCCTCTCCTCTTCCAGCGGGCTGGGACACACCTGATCTCTTACTTCCTTCTCATCTGAAACTGGGAAGATAACCTAGATCACCCAACTTGTCCTGTGGGAACTCTGCTCACTCAGGGCGGGTTACTGTCTAATTGTCTGAGTTCTAGTCATACCCTTATGGGTGGGCGAGACACCTCTGCCCTTGTACATCACTTTCTGGGCCCGAAAGGCTTTTATTGTTTTTTTTCCAATCACTCTGCCTGTGTCCGGACTGAATAGGTGCGTTCATCCCTGCTGCTGTAGCTCAGGATATTTGAGACTAGGTCCCTAAAAGGATCTTGCATCTCCTGAGGTTCCTTTAGGTCTCTGGTGTGCAAGTCCAGCAGTCCTGGTACTGCATGAAGTGTCAGCTACACGTGTGCAGAAAGCTTTCTACCCATTCCCTCAGGGCTCAGCTGGCCCCCATCGACTTACAGACACCCTCTGCCAGAACCTGTCAGCCTGTTCTCCACAGGTGGACATCTCCAGATAGGTCCTGGTCTTCCTGTTCAAACCCTGCTCCCCTGTACCAATGGGCTGGACACAGGAGAAATGCCCGGGGAAGGGGGAGGGAACTGGCCCATCTGTGGTCCTAGCTAAAAATCTTGTTTGCTTGTCTCAAGTTGCTGCTGAGGGTTAGAGCCTGCTGTGCCAGTGTTTGAGGTCTGCCCGAGGGAGACGGAGTCCCATTGTCTCACTGGCTGTGTTCTGTGCCTCTCCAGACTGGTCTCTTGGCGAGACCTGGAGTGTGATGTTTGAATAGGACTGCACAGGACGTGTCCACATTGTTAGTAGATGGAACTTGGGATTTTGCCGAAGGGCTCAGAGTGCACATTTTCTGTCTCTTTCAGGCTTTGGTGACAGGCTGTTGAGTGAAGTCAAGAAACTGGCTCCGAAGGACGTCAAAATAAGGGTAGGAGCAATCCCTTTGGTGGTTATCACTTACTCTGTGTGTTGTTCTGTGGCCTTTGCCCCCTTGAAAGAACCATGCTGAGAGTGCAGCTGCTGTTTGCTTCAAACCAGAAATGGCTTTCTTGAGACAGCCCAACAGTGCTTGCTGTTGTGATGAAAATCTGTTTGGTTTGGTCACTGAGGACGTGGCTCCTCTTGACAACACGACCCCTGTCCAGGATCCTGGACCACAGTGGCTGTTTTGGCGGGGGGCTGCTGGGTGGGAGGTATCATACCTGTGTTTGTTGGCTGTCGGCTGTAGTGAAACAGGGGCAGCGTGCCAGGGGAGCAGGCTGGAACTGGGAAGGTACTGACTGGTTCTCTCTCTCTCCCCCAGATATCAGCTCCGCAGGAGAGGTTGTATTCCACGTGGATTGGGTATGTACTGCCCCGTGACACGTCTTGCTGTGGGATGGGGGCTGGGGAGGTGCAGCCTGTTGGCTCTCACTGTTGTCCCTTCTGCTGCTGTGTGTCAGGAGGGTTTCATCGTTCAGCTGCGCGCTGCTCAGTGTGGTTACTGAGCTGACTCCGTCCGCGCTGCCGGCCCCCTTAGCCTTTTCTGTCCTTAAGTCTCCTGCAGGACCTGTTCATTTTCCTTGTCTTGCTGCTCTTGACGTCCAAGCTTGTAGGTGGCACATTCCTTAGGGCAGAGGCTCTAAGTACATTCTCCCTCTTGTGTATGTCTTTGCTGCAGATCGGGAGAGCTAAACTCAGCTTGATAATCCCAGAAAGTGAGACCAGGTCCTGTGTGACGAGAGCTGGTGTTTGGAGCAGCATCAGCAGGTCGTTGGGGCGGGGTGGCTGGTGTCAGGCTCTGTAGTGTGCCAGCACATTTGGGCTAACAGGAGAGGAAGGGATGTCTGGAGAGTGTTTCTGTTGCAGATGACTGGGAGCCTCAGCACCTTCCTGATGTGTCACACAATAGAAACAGTTCATCTCTGCAGAGGCATGATGAGAGTGCCCCCCGCATTTTCCTCTAACCCGTCGCATGCCTGTCTCTCCCCAGGGGCTCTATCCTGGCCTCACTGGACACCTTTAAGAAAATGTGGGTTTCGAAAAAGGAATATGAAGAAGACGGAGCTCGTGCCATCCAACGAAAAAGCTTCTAGCCCTGGGACCTGTCCTCAGTCTCCTCCGAAGACTCACTTCGGTTCTAAACTCGCTTTTCTGAGTCCGAGTGTCTGAGAGCTGCCTGTGTGTGTGTGTGTGCGCCAGCATGCCCCGATGTCACTGAGCAAAGGCGACAGCAGCAGGAGGGTTGTATCAGTACTACTAACTTCTTATTTTTTTATTTTATTTTTGTTAGGTTTTTTTAAATGGAAAGGAGAAAATACCAGTCTGAATTTCTCCAGAATGACCCATTCCTTTTTCATTTCAGTCCCTGAATTTCTGTATTGCAATCGCATTTGTCACTGTAAAACAGACAAGCAAGCAAAAACAAAGGGAACAGCTTATAGGAACTGCCTAGCAAGCCAGAAGGGAGCCAACCACTGCAGACTGCTCACGCAGGCTTCAGCCAGCCCGACGGCAATGCCTGGATTGTTTGGAAACACATAGCTGAGGCCCCATAGCTACTTTCTTCTTCAGCAGTGTCTTCACCATCACTAGGTTTTGGAATTTATTTTTAATATATTTTTTATTAAGAGAAAGCACATTCTCAACAGTTAAGCCCATTTGCCCCCACTGTTTTTGGTGTGTGAGTGCGTGCGTAACTTCTTAGCCTGATGCGTGGGTCTGCACCACAGCTGGAGAAGTCGGTGATAGGACTTAGTTTGTATTGCATGGAGTAGCAAAGCAAATCTAATCAGCTATCATTGTACTAGACGGTTATTCTCTCGTACCTTGTTTTAAATACGTTTTTCTCCTGTGGAAGCAAGTGCCCCAGAATGGGGGTGGAGGCACTTGTGTGTTCCCCCTCAACCTGCCAAGATTTACAGTGCTGAGTTCTCATATTCTTTCTCTGTAAGAGTCGAGGCTGTTTCCCTCCTTCCTGCCACGTCAGGGCAAAGGGAGCATGTATTTGCAGCCAGGCATAACTCTTGTGTAACCATTCTGGGGCAAAATAATAATTGGAAAGGTGCATTGTAATGTAAGAATTGTTTTATTTATTGACATGTCTGAGGGTATCTCAAACACTGACCACAGCACCTGGGAATTATGCTTTGGGTCTTCTTTGAACACCCGTTACCCAGCTGTCCGTTGTTGGCTGCTGACACTGCGTACCGCACGTATGCTTAGCCGAAGAGCCAGCCCGCCCTGCGCCGCCACCCAGCAACTGCTCGTTAGGGACTCGCGCTGTTCTCTGTGGATACGCTAAATGAGAGGACAATGGCCTGTACCAGGACATGGGTGTGAGCAGCAGGTTTGGGAGCAGGGAGCTGTGGCAAGGGCTGTGTCCCGCTCTTCTGTGTATGCCTATCTGCTCACCTCGTGGCTGCTTTGCTTCCACGGGCAGGCCTGCAGCCCCCCTTGCGTCGGCGTGTGCCACTGTTAGCCCCACAGGTTTTCTTACGCGTTATTTGGTGCTTTTTTTCCCCATTGTTAATTTTCTGCAGTAGCTGGCAGTAACAGTGGAGCTGGAGCTGCTCGGTGGCGGTTCCTCCCTGTTCCCCTCCTTTCTGTTCATCGCCACACATCACCTTGGGGTCACTCTCAAGCGCAGACGGGGTGAGAGCTGAAGGGCTGCATGGCGAAAGCGGGTGCACCGCCCCAGCTGCGATGGGTGCGAGCAGCAGCGTGCTGCTCCTGTGGGAGCCGTGTTCTCGGGGCTCACTGCTGGGCTCGGAGAGGTCAGTTCCCAGCTGAGGCCAGGCTGCTTGGTCACCTACTGCTCTCAGAGTTGACTACTTTTTTTTAAGCAAAGAACCTGTCAGGTAAAAGAGAGCTGTCAATGCTCAGCTGCCTTCTGCTGGAAAATCAGTTGCGTTCCTGCTGGTTTGCTGCTTCGTGCAGAGGGGAGGAAGCAAACCCCGCTCAGTTCAGTTACCACCAGGCAGTGCCAGTGATCTCCTCCTCCCCCTCCCAGCCCTGCGCTGGCCTGGCAGCCGCAGCAGTGCTCCATTCTGTAACCCGCAGTGACCGGACAGAGAGGTGCTGTCTTTCGTTTGATCTGCCTGACTGTCCTCTCGCACACTGTCCAAACCATGTTGCCTGGTGGTGCCCAGCATACTTAAATAAAGTCATTCATATACAACCCTCGAGCCTCCTGGCCTCATCTTCCCACCACTGCAGTTGTAAGGATGTAACCTATGTTCTTCTCTTGCCTGTGCAGAATTGTTGCTGGCCAGTCTCTGTAGAGAGACACCATCTCTGGCCCAGGGTTGCCTTCCTGGCCTGGCTTTTGAGCTGTGGTGTGCGCTGGTGCTGTCCAATGCTGCTCTCCTCAGCAACCACGCTATATTATGTTTCTCACTGCAGACGGGCCAAGGGCAGCAGAGGGGTAGAGAAGCTGGGAGTGAGGGCAGCCCCAGCTGAGTGAGGGCAATGGGAGCGATGCCACTGCTGCTGTGAGAAGAGCTGGTGCCAGCCCAGGTGCCTGCTGAGAACTAACAGGGCAAGCTTTGCTCCTGAGGCAGGCCTGGGGATGTGAGAAGGTGGCACAGTGTCCAGGCCAGCAGCTGTCCCCACCTTTGTCCCCAGAAGCAGCTGCTGAAGGAAGAGAACCTCCAGCTGCTGAGGCCTTCCAAAGCAGCAGGGGGAAGCAGCCCACCCCTGCCCAGAAGGTGGGTGATGCACCAGCCCACCCATCCTCCTTGTCCACTGCGGAATCGGGCCCAGGCCCCAGCAGTTTTGCTGGAGAGGAGCAGTCCCCTCAGCTCCCGTACAACCACAGTTGTGCCCCTGCAGCACTGCATGCCCCAGCCACGTTAGATCCACCTGCTAGAGAAATCACCAAGCGGTACAGAAAAGATCATCTTTAATTTATGAAATGAAGAATCATTCTCAATAATTTACGATTGAACCATCAGGAGCTACAGAAGCCTCACAGCAGGAGCGTCTTGGTCCAAGACAGAAGGCAGCCGTGTCCTGAGGCAAGACAGCAGGTCTATGGGCTGAGACCCCGCAAGGAACCTGGCACTGAGGAGAGAAGAGCACGCCCCTAAGCTGGTAGCAGCCTTCAGACGCTGCCTGCAGAGCCACACAGGGCAGAGCTCTGCCCTGGCACAACTCACCTGCCTGCCCCCAGACACCTCGTAGGGACTGAGGAAACGCTCCTGCACCTCGGGTGTCCCTTCGGTGACTGCCTGCCCCGTCTGCTCCCAGCCAGAGCCAGGGAGACCAAAGCCCCTGCTCTCCTCCTTGGGTCCATGGCTCGGCAGCCACCAAACTCCGGGCCCCCACTCCAAGCGGAGAGCCACCTGCCTTTCTCTCCCCGCAGAGGCAAAACCTCAACCCCGTGGCTGCGCAGCGCTGTGTCAGACAGGCTCCCGAGAGGAATCAAAGGCACAAAAGCAAGACCTGGTGTGTGCAGGCTGTGCCCTGCCCCTGCGGGAGGGGAAGGTGCCAGGCCACCCCGCTGTGTCACTGCTTCAGGGTTGGCTCCCTGGCCAGCATGGGAAGGGCCTCACATCACAGCCCCGTGACAATGCTGGCTGGGAGGAGAGGAGGGATAAACACAGGCCACGGGATGGCAGGTGAGATGGTCCAGAGCAGCGCTCGGAGCCCAGTTCAAGCCCAGCACCTTTCCCAGCCCAGCAACAGCTCTCTCTGCAAGGCTGCCCAGGAGGGAGCCTCAGCACAAAACAAGCAGAGTCAGCAGACCCGGGCTGTGCAGGATATTGTCATGGGAACAAGAAATGCCTAAGAGCAGATTTGGTCCAAGAACCGCAGCACTGTACGTGAGAGGGGTTGTACCAGCTACTGGGAAAGGCCTTCAGGGTCCTCCCATCCCCACTCCCACTATCCTGAAATCACTCCTCTTGTCACTTGGTCCCTCAGGAGCTTCCCACTCCACTCCCCAAACCTGTGGGGCTCTAGCAAGGAAGGACTCCCTGCGCGGTCTCCTCCTGCCCAGCCAGAGTGGCTGCAGTTCCCCAGGGCCATGCCCACAGCAGAGGACTGCACCAGGAACATGTCTGTCTCTGGCACACACTGCAGCCCAGCACCTCGCTGCTGGGACCAGCAGCACTCTGCTCGCTGGGACAGGCTAGGATAAAATGTTCTTGCTCCTGTGGCCAAGACATCTACCCCAGGCCCCTCGCATGCTGAACTTCTCTGCCTTCCCCCGCGACCACCTCCTGGAATGAGTAAACATTGGCATTACAGCATTTCACAGCCGAACCGTAAACATGGGGGTTTCTCAGCCCGCAGGCTTAGCCTGCAGTGCTGCACCAGCCTGGAACCAGCAGCACCCCGGGGGCTCAGACACCCCTAGATCATTTTGACCTCTGGCGCTCGGCCTTGCGTCAGGCTTTGGCGCTGAGCCTTCACCATCTGCAGATGCTTCCCGTGCAAGCCAAACTGAGACCAGCTGAAGAGCTGCAGCAGTGCGCATGCGATGGGTACGAAGACGAGGAGGTAAAAGCAGCCCTGCTGAAGAGTTGGCTCCAAGGCTGCGGCAGACTCCAGCTTCGGCTGGGCACTCACCACGTTGCTCAAGGGATTGCGCTGGAAGATGTCATAGCCTGGTGTCAGAGAAGAGTTTGTGAGACTGGGGGCACTGGGGACGGACCCTTGTCCGTTCTCTCTGAGTGACGTGGGCTTGAGACGCAGAGCTCAGGCACAGCTTCGCAACTGGGAGAGCCCTCTGCATGCACCCAGAGCACAGTGCACAGCAGAGGACACTGAGCTCAGAGGTCTGCCCTCTCCTGCCCCGCTGCCTTCCCCAGGAGTGGCGTTACCTGTGTATGCGCAGAGCAGCCAGGTGCCGATCAGGGGGGCGAAGGTCTGGCCCGGCTTGGTGACCAGAGCCACCATCCCAAAGAGCAGCGCTGAGGCCGCCTGCTTCCTGCGGTTCAGGACTAGATCCTCATCCACCAAGTCGGTGACCACCAGGTTGAGCAACTTACAGGTTCCTTCTGTGAACACCCGGTTGCTGCAGAACAACCGGCAAAGCACTGAGTAGGGGCACCAAGAACGACAGGAGTAGGTGTGAGATCAAAGAAAATGGTGAGAGGGATGAGAAAGGTTCCCTAACACTTAAAATAAGAATTTCAGAAGGCTACAGGAGGGGAACACTGCTAGCAATAAGCCTGGTGCACCCTGCAGCGATGCCTTGGATCGATCCTGACCTGCCACACAGACAGGCCTGGGGACAGAACACACTGGGCCAGTGGCCAACAGGCAGCTGCAGCACATGCTGAGGGCTATGGCTGCAGGCAGGCTGCGGAGGAAGAGGAGCTCAGTTCAGCAGCTGAAGGCTGCTGCAGAGGAAGACAGGAGCTCAGCTCAGCAGCTGAAGGCTGCCGCAGGCTGCCACCGGCCCTGCAGGGTCTCTGTCCTCCTGACCATCGCTGCCTCCCTCACCCTGCTGCAGGCACAGCCGGGGTTCTGCAGTGACCCGTCCCAAGCTCGGGTGCAGTCAGAGCCGGGAGCCACACAGCTTCTGTGTGACCCTGGCCCATGCCCCCC